CTTGAGCAACAAGCTCAATTGTAAAGAGTTTTGAACCATAATTACTAAATTTATTAAACATTGTGTATGACTACTTAAAGCTAATGAGCTTCAAGATGAACGTTTATGACACAAAAATCGGATATCATATCTATGCATCTCATGATCTTGTCATAGATTGTAGAACCTTGGAATGTAAACTATTGATGAGAATAAAGCTCATTACGTTTTGACTTCATTGCTTGCAACGTTTTTTTGAAGAAATTAACTTAAAAAATAATTATAGCTGAAAATTAAATATTAATTTAAAAAGTTTGATTAATTTTGTTCACCAATTTCAAATAAATCATATAATAGTTATCATCACTTTAATATCATATTATCAATTCATATAAATATCATATTTAAAAGAAAAAAATTATTTTTTTCTTATGCATTCAATATTTGATTTATGTACAAAATATATTAAAATTTGGAGCAATAAGAAACAAAATTTATCTGAAATGCAAAAGATAATTTATTCAGTGTTATAAAAAATAATATATTTTAATAAATTACTTAAGTGACATTCAACTATTAAAATGAGGATTTTAATATAAATGAATATCAATGTTTGAGTTTATTTAAAAATTCTATTTTTGTGCCAACAGCATTTGAAATTGAAATCAGTATTGTGAAACTTAAAAACAATAAACTACACATATCAAAATCAAAAATTACAACAATTGATACAAATTGTAAATATAACTGTATAATTAAAAATTACAATTTTTTCATATTTATTCAAGTGAATGTAATCTCATAAAAATCACAAATGAGATTTTTTTGTCTTTTGAAGCTAATTGTTTAAAATCAACATTTATAATTGAAAACTTACATATTTATTTTCTAAGATTAATGCTTTTGCAAAAATCTCAAATGATATACTTCAATTCCATAAATTTCATTTAATTTTTTTAAGTAAATGATGTGATATGTTTTTTAATCTGATATTTCTTTGATAGTTGATTTTTTAATCTTCCTACTGACGTTTTTATAATTTCTTTGATAAAAATTTGAAGGTAAATTTTATCAATTTAATATGTATTAGTAATATGATTTAAAAGAATTTATGGATGAATTCAACATTTATATGACTAGAAAAACACAATTTCAACATATTTTGTTTGATTATTAATTTAATTAGTTTATTTAAATTTTAAATTATTGGTTGTAATTTATTATTATTTTTTAAATTCATATATTTTTTAGGATTTAAAAAAAAATTTAGTTCATTGAACTGAAAAAATAATTTTTGATAGGAAAAAATTCCAAAAATATGAATATATTTAAAAATCTGACATGCTGTACTGATATGTACAAATTATAATGCAAATATTTTTTTAATTGAAAGACAATCTCAAAATTTTGTAAAATTGAATTGACCTTTTCTTTTCATAAAATATTAATGCTTTAATTTTTTTTAAAGTTGATTTCAAAAGTAACTATGGACTGACTAGTATCATAAGATTTTAAGACAAAAATGAAATTTTTTTTTATAATCGACAGATTAAAATCCCAGTTTGAAATTTAAATTTACTTAATAAATGTCTTAATTTATTTAGTCTTCTCTTTAAATATTTCCATTAATATATCACATAAATAAAAAGGACGTAAGTTGACAAGTATTAATATCTGATTTTTTTCAAGTATTATTTGATAATAAATTTAAATTGATGCAAAGCTCAATCCAATTATGGAGAATATTAAAGAGATTTATCTACATAACATATGAAATTATGTTTCACATAACAAATTAGCTGTCATTGAAACAGTTTTTTTATTTAAAATCTTTATCTGTGATTTTTTTAAAATTTAAATGAAAAAATTTAAAACCATATTATTTATGATTTTCTGCTTCTATATATAAAAATTCTACTTATTTTACCAATATAAGATTTATATTTTTTTTGAAACATGATGTGAACTGGCCTCATGCTCTATATTTATTCTTACATGTTACAAACTTATATAGATTCAGTTTTTTAATATTCATTATAGTTAATCATTTTTATTTAGTGATTATACATGTCTTCTATTGATGAATTGTGTATAGGATTTGATTATTCAGTATTTGTTTGTGCCCAAATGAAACATACATAAAATGTTTATTAACAACTTTCAATAAAATTAAATCAATACTCATGTTATTTGAAACTATTTAGAGATTTTGAGCTTCAAAACTTGATGTTAAAGTATGATGATCATTTTATTTTCAACAAATATTTGTGATCTGTATGTTTTGTAACATTGATATAAAGTACATAATCATGCAAGGATAATTTCAATCGAATAAGACTTGAAAATGGCTAAAACACTTATTTTTGAAATTTTTGCTGATGATATCTAGTCTAAATACGATGATTTGTGAAAATAATCTCTGTTTCAGCCTTTACATATATTCATAAATAGCAAAAATGTTTTAAAGATATGGCATGAGTTTTATGTTTTAAATTTTCATTCCTAAGTTACAAAAATATATCTATTTAATAATTTATGTATATTGAAGAATTCTATATCACTTATTATTTATAATAAGTTAATCTAAAAATTGAATCATCAAGTGATGGATTATTCATCTACAAATTTTTATTATTTAATCTTATAAATTGTATCAAAATTTTATATTGATTTTTGTTACATGATATAAAATCAATAGTTCCAATTAAATAAAATCCATGTAACTCAATAACTTTTATCTCTCTATATCCACATTTGGATTTTGATAATGGAAAAATATAGCACAAGTGTATTTTGTAAGTTTTGTACAAAATACACTTGTGCTATATTTTGAACTAAAAATTTTTAGAAAAGATTCTAAATCCTTTTAAATATATATATTTGATATAGAAAAAGAACGTTTAACAAGAAATCAATTTGCATGCACTTACATTTTTTTGTGAATTTAGACTACTTTTAGATACAGAAGCAAAAAGATGATGAATGAAAAAATTTAATATTTTTTGTAATAAATACATCCCCAAAAATCCGATTATATTTTCTTGAGACTATTAATCATTTTAGTTGTTGTCTAAAATTATTTCAAGCATAAAATTTATTTTTAAATGCAAAAATTGTCATGACAAAACAAAAAAAATTAAATTGAGTTCAAGCATCTTATATCTGCAATCCATAAAAAACTTCATTTTTTTTTTGTATTTAATCAAATTCTTTCACTTTTATCTATCTCTGTTGGAAAAAACTCCATTTTGTAGCACATGAAACAATCTGAAAATTTAAGTTGTTTCTTGAAGATCATGTTTGCACGTTGAGTCTCTTCGTTTGACCTTTATGTACCAAAGTCGATGGAAAAGAATTAATGCTTAGATCTGATTTAGGGTCACATGAGGGGATTGCCATATTGACATTTTTGTCACACAAACATTTCGTTCATTACTGGAGATGTTTTACGCTGAGTTGTTATTTGTGAGCTTTTTAGCTAAAAACCAAAACCGTTATATTTGAGTGCGTGGTGCAATAACACGATTGAGATTTATAAAAGGTATTCACCCATGTTCAGATGAACCTTCTATTAGAACCACGATGACATTTATACTACCATATTACCGGGTGTCAAACAGTATGCGTTTGACCATGTGTGGGTAGCAAACAATGCACAGGAAAGGTGGAACGTAAACATGCGGAAACTATAAGAGCTTTTAGATACCTCGCTTGTAGTTGGTCCAATTTAAAACGGAATTATGAATGAATGAGAATAATAAATAAATAAATTCTAACTTCTTGTCTTTATATTTTCTCTTGAAGATCGATTGAATAGATGACCAAGCCACTTCATATTTTTTTTGGACAGAGAATCTCGAACATATTGATAACCACCAAACAACTGCAATTCATGCAAGCCAAATCCCGGTCATCTCACCTCTATATATCTCACTGTTGTAACATCGAGACAACGTAATCCAAGTTTTATACTTAGAAGTCATCAGCTGTAATTACGAAGCTTATATCTTGAAGCACCAAAAGCAATAAATAGATCTGACTCTTATATTTGCATTTATCTTCAGGACGATGTTCCAAGCATAGCCTAGACTTGAATTCCCACACTTTGCACGCCCAAGTCTAAAAGTCAGGGCATCTCTTCTTGCAAGAAGAATGCTATAATCATAAAAAAATAATTTCAGGATATCTTTTGACATACGTTTCTGAATAATTGACTGGTTACACTCTAAAGTGGTTATTCTACGCACATCTTCACATGATGAGGTCCGGATCTGACTGAAAAGTTTACTACCCTTGTAATATAAGTCGATTCTTTATTATACGAATCTTAATTTAACATTCATGGAGAAAGAAAATTGTCATGAAGAACCGTTCTTTTCAGTTAGCTTGCCTTATCCAATCGTGGCAACCCGTCAGAACGAGCTAAGATTTATTTGGTCGTATCGTAGATAGCGTATACAGCAAACTTTGCTGGCGAAAGATGCCGAGCGATCGAACGTCGGAAGGAACTAAGAGGGAGAGACGGGCTCTGACGAGATCCGAAGATCGTAGAGTGCTTGCTGCTTTGCTTAACTTTTGGACAGGAGACCGGGTGACAGCACCACCACGAAGCTCACGTCGACACCTGGAACCGAATGACGCTTCCCGAACCTGCGAAGAAGGTTTAGCAGAAGCGAGTTAGAACCAGGGGTGTAAGTAAGTAAGAGGGGCCAAGCGGATAGCCAAAACCCAAGGAAGAAGATCGACCCCATCGGATAACAGCGATAAGCCCAAAGGCCGTCGGGCGCTCCGTAGATCATATGCCACCCCTCGCCTCGCTCGTCGGCGCACAAATTCGCAATCGCGCGAGCGAAGCGTACGTCACGAGCGTAGCGCTGATTCGCATTCGCGGGTTTCGAAGGAGGCGAAGGCAAAGGCTGAGCCAAGTCCAGGGCAGAGTTAAGTCCGCGGCTGGCGTAGGTCTGGCGTGTCCGGACGTCAGAGGAGGAGGAGGGAGGGGAGGGGAGGGGAGGGGGCCAGGACCGCGGGGGTGGAAATGGCGATGGGTTGAGGGGAGGGGAGCGCAGTCAAGGACTGTGGCGGGGGAGCAAGTACAGTACACGTATAAGCAGGAGAAATAGAGTTTTCCGGGCGCTCGGAATAAGAAGGAAGGAAGAGGTGCTGGCTGATAGATATGGCCGCGGGGGTTCTTGCTATGCCTCTTCAGCCTTCTCTACGCAGCTCGCTCGCCTGCTCGCGCCCTTTGTTGCGCAATTTCTTCTCAGCATCGTCGTCGCGGCCGTGTTCTTTTGCGCTCCCGTCGCGCTCCGCGGTCGCTCGTAGATCGGATCCGCGGGCCAGCATTCTTCTTGGCAGGCCGCGCTCACGGCATTGTGCGCGAGGCCGCAGCGTCGCCGCGGCATTTTCGTGTTGGAGCTCCAAGCATCCTGCGGTACGGCGCCCGGGCTCGGCTGGAGGAGGAAGCGTAGAGATTCAGGAGGCCAGGAATTGGACGCATCGTGCAGGTAGCGGTGTCGTAGCGCGGGCCGCAGGAACGTCTAGGTGTATGGCTACGGTAACAGAGGAATCGGTGGAGAAGACGGAGAAAGGAAATCCCTTGCTCGATGATGCTCCGCTACCCCTTTTCGATGCTGTTGAGGCGTCGCACGTGATTCCCGGCATACGCGCCCTGCTCAAAGACCTGGTTTCAATCTCACCTTTCCTCCCTCCTCTTTGGTGACAACCTCGATACGAGTCGTCGGCGCGACAAGTATTCTATGAGCCAGTTCTCCAATAACGTTTTGTGCTACAATTATATTTATTCTTGTCACTGTAAAAAAACCCGTTTAGCGAATGCATATTGAGACGTACAATGAGAGTTTCGGTTATCAACGGCGTATGTGCAAGAGCGTGTCCTTGGTCACGAGTTTTTGGACCTAAGATGTGCTCCTCACCCGGATCGTCAGTTGTAGAGTGTGTAAAGTGTGCTACGTTGTGAGGATGGGACTGGTCTGATGAGACCTAGCAGTAGCTGTAACTTTCAGATCAAGTGAGCGCGGATAAGACTCGATTGTTAATTAGAAACGCTTAACCTTAATTGGTTGCCTTGACTTCAACTCGAGAAGGCCTTCACGAGAAATGTAACGTAGTGAATTGGTAGTAGAAAGTTGATCCTCGAACAACTGCAAATGGCGAGCTCACGTTAACGGAATCTTTTAGCATAATGAGGCTCAGAGTGGACGTGCTCTTACTCATCTCGTCCAAATCTATGATCTGGTCACACAACCAGACATCATAATCTGAGTATGAAGAGAGTCGTACATGCCCCCAATTCTTGAGTCTCTTCTTCTGCTCATGCTCCGCAGGCCTTAAATACTCATTCTCATCAACAGGACTTATTACAACTTTGTCGTTCCTGATTGGTGGTTTCGACTTGGAGAAATGACGAGTATTCTTTGATCTCCAGTGGGGCATGAAACATTACGCTCCGTCTTCAATAATTGTTTGTTGGATTGTCTCATTTCTGGTGTGCAGTGCCCACCACTCTTCCAGATCGTTTCGCAGTCGCCGTAGAAAAAGTGGAGAGTGTAGTTTTGCTGTCGCATTGTAGCAGTTGACGACATATTACTGCTTTGCTTCTATTGTTAGCTGACTATGTTACTGGCTGGCGTGGGTTCAGGAGAAGGAGCTTGAAATCCTTGAGAAAAACGTGCAGCCAACCTGGCCTGGACTTGTGGAACCACTAGAGAAGATAGTAGACAGATTATCAGTCGCCTGGGGCACTGTAAGCCACCTCAAAGCTGTTCAAGATTCACCAGAATTGAGGGCTGCAGTTGACACAGTGCAGGTACAGCAATCTGCTAAACTATTGGGAGCAAGCCGTTTCAATAATGGAATATGAAAATTACCCGCCACATTGTCATATCAGATCAGAAAACGATACACCTCTTAACGTTCAAATGAACTGACTCTACCGTTACTTTTGACAGTCAGACAGGGTCGCCTTTTCTCTTAGGTTGGGCCAAAGCAAGCCTATCTATGAGGCATTCAAAGCTATCCGTGAGGGGCCTGTCTGGGCTACCCTAACCGAAGCTCAACAACGAATTGTTGACGGTAACTTCGCTGACTGATTGCCTCATGCCCAGTGCCACATGGTTAAATATACAGAACAAAGTGCTACCTTGGTTTCATTGGTCGTAATAATGCGTGTGAAAGCAAATAGCACCATGATACAAAAGCATTATAACATAGTGCTTTTTGTCTGAATGTTCTAGTCAGTGTGAGATGGGTGTGACGTGAAGATTAATGTAAATCATATTTGACTTCACAGGTGAGCTGAAGGAAGCAACGCTTAACGGTGTCGGCTTGGAGGGAGAGGCGAGAACCCGTTTTAACGAAATTCAGCAGGTAATATCTTACGGCTGTTGTATGCAGCAGTAGTTTATGTAGTGATACTTTCTGACAAATTGTGTTTGCTTTTTTAATTTGTGGTACAAGCATCAAAGTCCTTTCCGGTAGCCGTCCAGATTAGCTACAGTACCTAATCGTCCTCAGAGGTTATGCTCGAGTTTGAAGTAATTTGGATTGTTTGCATGCCTGCCACATTGTTGTCTTGTGATGGGTTGATATACTTGTTCGGGGCCGCATACGATTCTCCTCGATGTCTGCGGTAACTTGACAGTGCCAGTTCTCCCAGATTGTTGTAATTTTCTCATTATACCGTGTCAAGTTGCTGATATAGTGTTTCTGTGGATTTTTTTAAACAGGAACTGGAGCAGCTGTCTACTAAATTTAGCGAAAATGTCTTGGACGCTACCAAGAAGTTTCAAAAGCTTGTAACCGATCCGAAGGAGATTGAAGGACTCCCCCAGACTGCTCTCGGTCTAGCTGCTCAGTCCGCTGTCGCTAAGGTTCGAAGGACATCTTTGACTTAATGACTGAAGGCAGTAGTGGTGAAGCATTGTACCAGATCTTATCTAATCTCCCAGTTCTGTTCTGAAAATGGTCTTATGTTTTGATCATCGAGCTCAAGAGTGTGCTTTACTACATGTCAGGTACTTTATGATTTACACAGCTCAGTCTAATTTAGCATGTGTTTGGAGAAGTTAGCGTGCGAGCCAGGCTATTTTAGCTTGTTCTTATGGAGCTGACCGTCTCTCACGTAACCAGAGTGTAGAGGAAATACACAATTAAGATGGTCTTTGCGTTCGTGCACTAGTGGATGTTGGCTGGAACTTGGTTTTTAAGAATTACTTCGTGATATCGGTTGTATTGCTTTTGTATAGGGTCACGAGGGTGCCACACCAGAGAGCGGTCCATGGGTCATAACTCTGGATGCTCCGAGTTATATGCCAGTTATGCAGCACGTGCGCAATCGAGCTCTCAGAGAGGAGCTGTACAGAGCCTACCTAACCAGAGCCTCTAGTGGGGAGTTGGATAACACACCAATTATTAACAAGACTTTGGAGTTACGACAAGAGAAAGCTGAGCTCTTGGGGTTCAAGAATCATGCTGAGGTGAGTAGCAAGACTGGTGCAACAAAAACGCCTGGCTTGCCTAAATTGAATACACTCAAATTAAGGGCAGGTGTGTGGCGTGCTCACTTGAACTGATAGATCACCAAAGACTTCATGGGCCTGTGTAGCGTACATTTCTTTCAGCTACTCCTTTCACATGTTTGCAAAGTTTGCTACAGATGCTAAATGTGTTTAGTCCTCAAGTTACTGCAGAGGGTGTAGTTGCAAATGGTTCTCTTTTCAATGTTGGCGTGTCTCTAATTTAGTCTTGTTTTTAGAATAGAGTGATTCTTTAGTTGTCTTTGGCTTGAGGGAAGTTTTCTGAGATCTAATGATGACATTTATATGGTGCAGGTAAGCATGGCTATGAAGATGGCCACTCTTGAGCGGGCTGAGGAGCTTCTGGAGCAGCTTCGAAGTACTTCTTGGGCCCCTGCTGTCAAAGGTAAGCAGAATTTACACGTGCTAGGATATCAGGTGCGGTATCTACGCTACAGTTCCACCAGAGCAGCAAAGTTAAAAAATTATGTTTTGAAGAATCGTCAAGTACAAACTGTACTTCAAAAAATCGCCGTAAGATTTTCTCGTTCATGATTCGGTTGTATGTATCTGTTATCTCCAGATTTAGAAGACCTTAAGGAGTTCGCCATAGAGCAGGGGGCTCCCGAAGGGAACGACATGCGTCACTGGGACGTAACATTCTGGAGCGAAAGACTGCGGGAAGCCAAATTCAACATCAATGAGGTAAATTTGTCTCCTTTCTTCGGTATGACTGGAAGGAGTTATGAATATACACTTGGATATTTTACCTGTAGTCGCTGTACTTGCCTGTCATAGCCTGATAACCTTAGACCTGGAGCTCTGGTTAAGCGGTGCTTGTATCAAATAGCCAACTTGATTAGTAAATAGATTGGAAGAACCATGAGGAAGCTATGCAGACTAGGGATGTATGTGTGTTTTTATCTGTAATTATCTGTTTGAGCATGAGAGTGAGGGCCTACTGTAGTTTTCTGGTAGTCCTTCAGCAGCCGCGCTGGATTTTATTGTTACTAAATCTGATGATATTGGTCCCACAAATTTGATTTCCAAGTGAGGCGCTTATGTTAACCTGCCTGCTTTTTTGTGGATGACGTTGGACGCGTCGAAAGTTATTTTGGAGATTTAAGTTGACGCAGTCAGACTCGAATCTCTGCAGGAAGAACTTCGCCCTTTTTTCTCTTTGCCCAGAGTGACTGAGGGCCTGTTTGGTCTTGCCAAAATGCTATTTGGGGTTGATATCGAAGCTGCGGATGGTCTTGCACCGGTACGTAGCGACTAGTCGTTGAATGTGCTTCGATATCAACATGAAAGCGTGATTGTGAACATCAAATGATTTAATGGCATAAGAGGACTATTTCAGTACCACGTCCATGTAAGAAGTGGTCTGTGTAGCTAATGCGGATGACCTTATGCATGTTCAGGTTTGGCACAAGGACGTGAGATTCTACAGAGTCAAAGATCTTGCAGGAGAGCCTCTTGCTTATTTTTACTTTGATCCCTACTCAAGGCCTTCTGAGAAGAGAGGAGGGGCCTGGATGGATGAAGTCCTTGGCCGTAGTCGCCTTCTTGCTCCAGCAGATAGAAAAGTCAGGCTACCGGTAGCACACATGGTGTGCAATCAGACTCCACCAGTTGGTGATGAACCTAGTTTAATGACATTCCGTGAGGTATGTAATGTTCCTTCTATATCTGGACCCTTAGGTTGTGGCTGAGCTCAAATTTTCTATTTTTTATGTAATGATTTATTTATCCTGTTCCTACTAGGCTTTGAAGATGTTGGCTTTGTGGGCAATTCTCATCTGGTCGTGTACATGCAGGTAGAAACCGTGTTTCACGAGTTCGGCCATGCCTTGCAACACATGTTGACAAGACAGGATGAAGGACTTGTGGCGGGTATACGGAAAGTAGAATGGGATGCTGTCGAGTTGCCTTCTCAGTTTATGGAGAACTGGTGCTATCATAGGTACGCTTAGCGGTACCATTTTTATCTTGATTGACTTATTGCGTGGTTGGGCTTCTATTATCACAATGAGCCTCTTAGAAAGCAGTTAGCAGCGCGAATTCGATTGACCACATTGTTCTAAGCACTGAACTTGATTTAGCTATTGTTGTCGAACATTCAGCCAACCAGAAATAGCGAGCGTATGTAGACTCTCGAATGAGCACTTAGGTAATAAGCTTTGCGTGATTGTGGATGTAGAGCGACACTACTTGGGATAGCCAAACACTACAAGACTGGAGAAACACTTTCGGATGAATTGTACAGCAAGCTGCTGTCAGCACGAACTTTCCGTGCAGCGTCCATGATGCTACGACAGGTAAAACTTGGAAGTAATTTGGTGATCTTTTATCCGCTGGTTTTCTGTCTTCCCTTGTACGGTGATTTTCGCATTCGGGTCGATTCATTCCGAATATGCGAGCATTTTCGTTTTCCTTTATTGCCTAGACACACGAATAGAATATAACTCGAAATACGGACCTCCGGCTCTGCGTGTCGATACTGGAAAGGTCCCGGGTCTTAGAGTCTGGAGACCCTTTCGCTAAAGAACACAACTGGTGGTTTAATATGACTTGAAGTATCTGACAGCGTGGCGTTGCTGAAAATCGCCGCAGATCCACTTTGCAAGTATCGACTTAGAGCTACATTCAAGGTTCAAACCAGGTGGCAAAGAATCATTATTTGATGTTGATCGAAGAATAGCCGAGAAGACTCAGGTCATACCCCCATTGCCGGAGGATCGATTTTTATGCGGTTTCAGTCACATTTTTGCAGGTAAGCGTCTGGCACAGAAATACTGGGGTTGGGATTACAAAGCATTGACATCATATCCTTCAGAGCACTACCTATAAAGTACCATCTACATCTATCTTGTTCTTTTTAAGGGTCTGACTTTCAGCGTTATGGACGAATGTTTACAGGTGGCTACTCGGCTGGATACTACAGCTACAAGGTATGCCTTGCTTTCTCCATGAACTCTACAACGAAATTATTGCCATGAAATAATTATACTGCATTTAAAATTACTGTTACGACTATTTACATTTCATCTAAAGGTCTCGGCCACTTCAATTTATCTATCTTTCGTCGATCGTGATCAGTCGGTAGTACGGACGTACACTCTAACATGATTCATCGTAGGCACTATCTTTATCTCAGACCTATCTTCCAATGATCTGATGCACCCGTGGAGAGTGTCCTTGAATTCTGGATGTACTCTGCGACGAAATTCTTGCCATGAAAATAGTTTCCAGCTCACATTTTGATTCATGTCTGGGCCACAGTTGTAAACAGGGCTCAGTACCCAGATTTAATTGGATGTTATCTTTAGTATTAACTTTTGTGTAGTGTCTCTTTCGTGCCAGCCATACCCTTTCCCCGCCGAGCAAGGCGTGTCAGCAGGAGGTTTTTATTCGCTTGTTATTTTATATATATTGTTGATTTAAAATAGCTAGACTATTTACGACATTGACATGTTGATACATTATTCGGTATTGAGTGTTTTCGTCTTCTGATTTGAATCAAATGTTGAGCATTTCATAATTGAGTGTCCCAATGTCCTTTGTAATTCCAGTGGGCGGAAGTTCTATCCGCCGATGCTTTTTCTGCATTTGAGGAAGTAGGCCTGGAGAATGAAGAGGTAAGCTACTACCACACTTCTGATAGGAATTATCTTTCTGACACCAACTTTTTTTGTACTCTCGTGAAGTCCGAAGATCGGAACTCCATTCAACACTTCATTTCGCTTACCGTCTTCTGCGGTTCCTTGGATCCCATTTATGCTGACGAATGTCTTTGTCCATCTGGTTGAAGGCTGTAAAGGAGACGGGGAAACGTTTTAGAGAGACCGTGCTTGGACTCGGAGGAGGCAGACCACCTGCTCAGGTATAATACAAGTTTAAGTTTGGTCATTGGAACTGTTTTATAGTTTCGCAGGAACCTAGAAGGTTGAAGCGATGAGGATGAGGTCGTCAACTTTTTATAGATGTGTGAATGAGTATCCTGGAGAGGCTCTATAGGATATAAAAGATGCTAACTGTGTCTTCGCACGGTCGCAGGTCTTCAAGGACTTCAGAGGAAGAGATCCATCAACAGATGCCCTTCTTCGACACAGTGGCCTCCTGGCGACTGCGACTGCTTAGATATACATGAATGTCAAAAGATAAAAGTAGACGGAACTTTGTCGTGTAAGGGATGACAAGGTTTGGGTTGTCCATAATGATATTCTTGAGCCAATTTTTTGGTACTGTAACAGAAAGTTATCTTCAGTTCATTCGAAATTTCTCACGTCGTGTTGGGTTAATGACTTTGAGACTGACTGCAATGTAAGTTTGAATGTGTATTATTTCACTGATCGAGAGTGATCATCGTTTAGATTTGTTGATTATCTTTAGGTTGCATGTTAGTAGTCAGGGATTCTTAATTGATATAGAAGATGAAGTAGAGTCGTAAAGATCAGATCTCTGTTCTTGACATTGATTATTTCTTGTCAGTCTTGTGTTTCCATACTTATGCACCCTTTGCTTCATTGACTGAGGGTGTGTGTAAAGGGACTTGCAGTCGGCCGGTTTCGGCTGCTGTATCGTCGTGCATTCTCGATCCTTGATTTCGAAACTAATTTCTTTGAAGATGAACATCGATGAGGTGATTCCAGATGGTTGTGAACGTTGTATAGTAAGTATTACATCGATCGAAGCACAAGCAGATGATCATTTATGTTGCCGACTTCAGTAGTTTGATAAAACACGTAAAAATGGATATCAGTTTTTAACCAGAAAAGCCATGATAGGATGAAAACGTCATCGTTACATCCTGAAGACATGATTGTATTGCAGAATGAAGTTTAGAACATCAACTGTAGATAATAAGAGTGGAAACCGGAAGCAGATTTTAGGATTTGAACTCCTCTTTGGTGTACGACAGAATAGATCGGATCCATCTAGAACTTTGTACGCGAACTTTATGAACTCTATACCCTTCCGAACGCTTTTATATTGCTTAACTTTTCTACGTGCTCCGCTTCACTGAAAGTGATGAGTTCTAAGCGAGTTCGTACTATCCTTGTGTTCGCAGTGAACAGGTCACTCAAATGGACAATTTTAATCTTCAGGGATGTGAGTAAACTAATGAGAATCTACAAATAGGATCGCATTTCCTACGGTATTTATCATGTGTGAGGATGAACATAGACGGAAAGTAAGTAGAGCTTCCCGATAACACCCACGAGCTTACCGTAGGGATGAACACCATGATCCATGAACCTTCTAAAACAACATCTACGTCCACGGATGCTTCAGTAAGATGATGGTGAATAAAAAATACTCATTGCAGATTCGGGTACAGTTTGGATCCGGAATCTTTTTTATCGTCCCCTAGACTTTCTTAGTCACTAGTGAGGGGAGGTAAAGAAACCATCACATGAGCAGCTGCGTTGTTGCACACCTCGTAGATTCGGGGTACGTTCCAGCACCTCTTCTCAACGGCATGATCGATAAGGGGTCAACTTTCTCCTCGAACCGCCGAGGGCTGGGACGAACAGCTGTGAACTCGGAGAACACTCTTCTTTGTTCTAGGCTTTTCCGGCGCAAGTAGTCACCAGAATCGACGTACACACAAGCTGCAAATTCAATCTGAAGGCTCGCACGAAGTCGACGGTCGAGACACAAGAGACATCATGCAGTTTTCTTCGTCGTAAGAATGTGACAATTCAACGTCATCTCGAGCTGTAAGCATTCAGAACTGCAGGTATGGCAAGGACCCGAGCCTTAGGAAAAGCTCATGGAGGAAAGCTTTTAAGCATCGACGTCTAGGAATCGTGAGGCCTCGTGGATCTCGGCATCATGCACGGCTGCCTTGAAGATTCGGGGTATCTTCGTACGGTAGCGCAGAGTCTCGAGAATGGCATGGCGAGTGTAATGGAGCTTCTGCACGTCTGACCATACGAACGGCTCACCGAGTCTCTTGGCCCCCGCCACAGAATCACACCCTGCATGCAACGTCACGTCTTGCAAGTCAGATTCTCCAAGTTCAACAACGTTCAAGCATCCCAATCATCCTCAGCTGCGAAAGACAGAGCAGCCAGCGTTCATGTCGCTCTTCACCTGCACACGTGGGTCAACTTCGTCCCAACCCCAGAGAGTTGAACTCCTTGCGGGGCCTACGCTTTCACTGAAACCGGAGATTAATTATCACTCTGACCCCTGAACTATTTTTTTTTTTCGCAGAAGGAAATACTTCTTTCATTCTACAAGGAAATCATCATCCATACCTCACACAGATAAGTGCAAGATCATGGTGTCCCAATGATATACTTGAAGTTCGCAAAGAAGTGTACTGTGGATGTGAGTGGGACCTCACATAGATGAGAGGAGACTTGTTCATTCCATGCCAAAAGAGCAGGTCAATATGAAGATGGAGAACCATATCCAGTCTTACATGTATGATACCATACAGTAAATATAGGATCAGGCTACGATAACATCAGATGTATGTGAATATATAATATTGGAAAAAAGATATCCTAATTTTCTTGGTCAATCAGTCCATATATCACTAGACTCCTGGATTATGATCAAGTAATTCCTTACTTCACAAGCTTGTGTTTTATCTAAACAACAATATATATCAATCTGAGTTATACAAGCAATGATTTAATCTATTAAGAGCAAAAATATCATTTTTGACATTGTGGATGAATCAAAATAGACAATAAACTTGAGATCAAATAGATCGAAATGGAGTAAAAAAAGACAAACACAATGTTGCAATCCATGGCATAAAACATTTATGTATTTTAACTTATGATAAATTTAAAAATTTTGTATTCATGATACTAGCATTTATATCAAGGATGTATTTATGTGCAACCAAAAAAAAATCTGAATGATTGTAAAATACTATAGCTCATGTGCAGGCCTCTGCTAACTTGGCATTTGCCAAATCTGTCATAAATTACTCTATTATGCCATCACCAGATTTTAACTTATGAAAAATATGATATCATGTGATATCAATCAATAAGAAGTCCAAACCTTCACATAATATAGTCAAAGATGTCTATTTTGATGTGAAATTTTAACTTTCAAGTGTAAATATATATAATTCAATGACGTCATCAAAAATATTGATGATCATGAAATTAACAAATGTTCAATGTGATATCAATGAAAATGAAAAAATAATTGTAAAAAAATAAGCAAATTTATGATAATAGATACAGATTAATAAATAATTGCATGAAGCTATAGCGAGAAGTACGTGATTTTATTTACATATAGACTATACAATATGAAAAATATCACTTTTTGAAGTGTTGATTCAAAGAAAATAAAATAATTTTTCAAATATAAAAAATATTAACATTTTTATGTTGCTTAACATGGATATAGTGTTATGAAAATTAGACTTAAAAAGAATGAAAAAAAGATCACATCATATAGTTTGGAAACTTAAATACTACAAAATGAAAATTTTATGTTAGAGGACAGAATCTGCTCTACAAATTTGGATTAGATAATATTTGAATCATTACTTTATGATGTTTAATAATTATGGTGTGATATATGATTAGAAATATTACAATCTAAACATGACATTTTCTGATCACTTCCATGATCCAATAAATAGATGCAAAATAATTTTTTTATTCTTTTTGTTTCTTGAAATTACTGTTAGTAATTAATACAAATATTGGATTATTTTAATTAATTTTATTACGCTAAAAAGACTAGTCAGTCATGGTTATATGAGAGTGCTGAAGAAACTCTGTTGGATAGAAGTAGAGTTTTCATTAAAGGTACATAGTGTATCTGTGCATTAAAGGTAAATAGTGTTTCTGTGGACCTAGTTTCATTGAGATAACCATGTACTCTTGGTGTTGACTCTTCATCATGAGTTTATTTTTGTTTGAGTTTCCTTGTAAACTTAGTTTTGGCACTTTGAATCAGATTTATTGACTTTAATGTGAGATACATGCCAATTCATTACTAATGTTTTCCAGCTAAATACTCTTTTATATCAATGCTAACTATAAAAAACGCTAAATTAAAAACATTCAGACATTTTGATCATTTAATAAATCTTCCGATGCATTTCAAAAGAACTCAGATGGAAGTAGAAATAATTTTGGAAGAATTAGGATTGAAATTACAGAAACTATAGAAACTACCTTTGTCGGATTTAGACTCTGTAGCTTTCAGCCAATCAGCACTCTGTCCACTTGACCAATTATCAACTGTATGCTCGAGAGGGCTCACAGTCAACATCCTTTGTCTAAAACAAAGGTCTTTAAACAGTGTCGAATTTTCCTTTTTCACATAATCTTTGGACCATAGTTTGAAAGTGAACTTCTCTTATTTACCAAGAGCCCATTTGACTGGAACGGCTAATCAACAACAAATTCATCCTTTGGCTTGTAGATTCACCCAGTTGTATTGTTTGTTATACAATGAAGTCCCTACCGGTGGTTTTGTTGTTGTTGGTTTTGAGGGGCAAACTTGTTACCTTGCCTGACCTTATGTTAGGAGATTTCTTCCTTCTATCTCTCCTTCCTTTTAGAGAGAAAAATATCAAGATATATTATATACTTTCCAATATTCTCAAGCTGTTCAAGATGAAATATAAATGCAATCCATATGCAAGGTACAGATGAAAAAAATCTCTACAAGTGACAGTTATATGAAGGTAAAATTTTTGTATTGTTATAGTATATATTATAAATCAGCGAGACCGTACAAGTTCAGGTAAAATAATAATAAGTAGAGATTCAACAAAAACTTAACAACATAAACTATGTACACAACGCAAGCAATAATATTGAAAGTCATACAAAAAATGTGCTTGTGTGGACACTTAGTATATATATATCTATAGCACGATTGGACAGTAAGTATTTTAATAGTATCAGCTCGAGGTTATCGTTTGCAATTCAAGGAATCTAAATTTGTTAAGAAGTAGAAAACAATTCTACCACCCTCCGAGGAAATTGTCGTTTAAACCTCACACATATTAATGCTGGATGCTTGGGTGCCAAGGATATGGGGCGGTTTAATTTGGCCAAAAAATGACCTGTGGGCGTGCATCGGTTGCGGATGTGTACGAATCTCGGACACAATTAAAATGGTTGTCCTTCTTAAAATAGCCCTCCCTTAAAATAGATTTGCCCTCCCCGCCGGTTCGTGCGGTCCCTGCTTTAACCCCAACAACCATGAAATCCAGCACCTTTGACTGATCTCTGGACACGACTAGCGACCGGACCTCTGTCCAGTCACCGCCCCATCTCGGTCCGGTGACAACCTCTCTCGGACTCCATCATTTCGCCTCTCATTCGGGCCGAAATAATTTTGGGCCGAAATTTGCGGTTTAATCGGCATGAGCTAACGTAGAAGCGTAGACGAGAAATCAGGGAGACGTATGCGGGAGAAGGCTGTTTCTACATTTTCTCTCTCTGATCTCTCGAACCCCTGGCGGCTATGCAACTATGCGGTGGTTACGAAGATTTTCAGATACTGCTGCGGTGGGCTTGTACTCAATTGGCGGAGCTACGCTTGAGAAGAGGTGTAGAGGTAGGATAGAAGCCGAGATTAATCGTCTTCTGCCACGTCCAATTCTCTCTGAATACAAACTTCGAGTAGATAGGAGTCTAAAGTGATTCCGTACTGCGCATATTCACGTTCTGAACAACGTTGATGGGTGGCACAAGCGGTAGGACAAGCCCGGCTTCTCGTCCTTGTCATAAGCTTCGCGATAATTGTAATTCCCCTTTCAAATAATGCCTGGAATCGGTTGGACTGTGCTCAGCATCTTGGTGTGATTGATCCCCACTCTCTGTTAAACCCTACGCCTTTCCATCTCGGCATGATGAGTAGGCTGCGCAAGTCCTCGTGTGGCATTAACACAGTATCGAAACTTTTTCCTGGGCCATCAGTGCGGTTGGAAGAGTGATTACATTCTCCTCAGGTGAAGAACTCACTCGTTTGGTTTATCATGACACACCATTCAATCCTTCGAGGAAATGGACACCAGGGTCTGATGATTCACATGTAGACGGAAAAGATCGTAAGAGTCCTCCGAGAACGTCAGATTACACTCGCAACGCGTACGAATAGGCAATGTATGTGTCGATATGCAAGTGTCAACCGAAATCTCCAATATCACACATACAGGTCGATACAAATGTCATTTCCGACCCTCCTTATCTACGATACATAAGTCAAGCTGAAAATCAGTGGTAGTTACAAAATTCAATATCCTAGACTAGCATGGGAAACACTTAATCTATGAGGAATCAGTTCAGTTCTTCTGGACCAGATCGCCGAGCTCGATCCCGATCCGTAGTCCAGCCTGTCCGAAACATGGCAGCTGCTGCTCCGCATAATGTAATAATATATGTTCTGTGTCCTAAGAACTTCCAACTGTGTGAATCAAAATACAGAGTTGGAAAAAGCCGCGAATTTTTTATACACAAGTCACGTGTGTTCTCTGTGTGGGTGTGTGTGTGGGGTGTGAGTGAGTGAGAGTGTCTGTGCTGTCTAAGTTATCTACTCGAATGCGAAGTGGAATCCTCGAGGGAGTCCAAATGCAATCTCTAAGGTTTACGCCCGCCCTGGAATGTCATCATCATCATCATCACCTGGAACTAAGGTACACGGTCTGAACGAACATTAGCACGAGCAGCAGCAGGGTGGCCAAGAGTAATCCGATCTTCCAGGCCTTGTTCAAGTACGTCTCCACGAACTCCCAGAATGCCCTCTGCTTCCTGTTGTTGTAACGCTGCCGCACGTCGATGCAGAGTTTCTGGAATTGCGGCGAGGTTTGTTGCGATGTGGTGCCCTGGATTACGTGATTACACAAGTCCACCACCACAGCCACGTCTCCCAGAGTGTTCATTATGACACAGTCCCTGCTGTTCTCCGATAGGAGAAAAACATCATCTTCCGTGTGCACGAGCTGGTTCATGAGAGTGAGGTACTCTATGACTGGCTGATCCTCGTACAGCTTGCCCGGTCTCATTTCTAACAAGGCCAAGTTCCTGAACATCTCGAGTGTGTATCGCCACAGCTCGAGCTTGGGGATGTACAGCGTATCCTTGAACAGGCCCTGCACTACTTTGTAGTCGAAGATCGTTCCCACACCCGATCCCCTGATTTTGATTCCTACTTTTTTCAATTGCGAGGCCGTGGGAATGACTCGGGCGCGATTCACAAAGGCTCCTTCGAGATCCTGCAGGTGCGGATCCAGCGCGAACTTGGTCGTGCTCTGCAGCTGAAGCAGGCAGTTGACGAAGTTCCGCAAGCATGGAGTGGATCGGTATGATTCTTTGGTCTCGTCCACTTGAATGGACGCAGTGTCATGATCACTCCCGTGGCTCAGATGTCGGTCCATGGTTCGAAGACCCGCAGATCTCGAGCACACCACCTTGTACACGCATTCCAGCAGGTGATCGCTGCTGGCCAATTGCAGCTTCGACACCGAGTGATCACTGAACGATGGCAGCCCGCACACTCCCAGAAACGACGGCAAAACCTTGGTCAGCAGCTTGCCCAGCTCCAGCCGCAAGCTCCTCTCCGAGTCCACGCTATGCGCCAACTTCACAGACCCTGTGGATTTATCCTCCTGGAATATGCCATGCCTATCTACATCCTGAGGGAAATGGTACGCCCCCGAAGCCTTGGACTCACCCTCGGAGTCCACAGAAGCCGCCACTCCCGCCCCCACACTGCTCGTCGCCGGCACACTGTCCTTGCCATCCATGGCCACAGCCAGGGCGTTCTGAATCAGAAACAGGGGCACCTGGTTTTCTATCAACAGCACATCTTGCAGCGTCCCCTTCTTGTTCAGGATGTAAATCTCCTTGCGGCTCAGGGCTGGAATCTCCGAGTACCGATGTTCATGGCCCTGGAACAGCACGAGCCCCTGGAACAGGCAGAGCAAGTAGACGGCATCGATGGTCAACAGGTAGCGCACCTCGTCGTCCGTCAATTCTGGCGCATCCTCGTACAGCAGCTTGACCTGAGCTGGATCGGGGACGACTCGCATGCTCAGCTCGTCCCACTCGAGCTGTCGATCGTCGTCTCGACGCTCGTTCACCTTCTTGATGAAAGCCAGCACTGCGTCGATGCGGCGCCTCTCGGCTTCAGTGGTGATTCTCAAGTCGCCCCTGTTGTAGAGGCCCAAGGGCATGTCGATGTGGCTGTACATGAACATGTCGGGTCTGACGCTGCGGATGTGGTGAGGCAGCCGAATTATGGTGGGCGTCACATACCTGAACCCATCTGCAGCTGACTTCGATGCTCTCTCAGCTGCGACGTGCCGCATTTCCACTCTGATCCGCTCATTGTCGGTCCAGCGAGTCCTCAGAGCTCGAGCTTGCTCCTCTTCTTCATATTTGTTCCTCTTCAGAGGACTGTAGTCCGGTATCGATACCATTTTCTCGTCGCAGCTGCAAACCCAAGACAATGTGGTTCGGTCCTGGTCGAGCTTCTTCTTCTACGTTCTCAGCATGCTCAGCCTCTGGAGCTGCTGGGGAGCTGCTGCAGCTGCTGCTCTCCTCTGCCTACATCCGGCAGCGATGAATCTCGTTCCGAGGAGACTTCATGAGGCGACTAGCTGCGACGAGGAGCGATGGAACGAGCATGAAGCAGATGCGTAGTTTATGTAAAGCCTATAGAGAGCAGAAGCATTTGTCGACCGAATTTTTTAATGAGCGTCGAGAAAAGTACATCGACTAAAGAGGGGCTCGTCGCTGCTCAACTTGCCAGCCTCGTTAGCTCGTTCGGTGCAGAGTGGATAACGATAGTGGGACGCTGCGGCAAGGAATTTCGACGAGTAATTGACCACGACCCGAAGTGGAGTGGGTAATATGGAATCGTAAAAATTTTCCCAAAGCCATGTTCATCTTCAATGCAGCTGTAAAGCTGCCAAGAATGTTGGACCCGAAGAGCTCAACTGGATTGAAGGCGGCTGGCTAACCCTAATATTAGGTACAAAGGGCAGCGTCCTCTGCAGCCAGGAGCAGCGCAGTAGGAGGAATGCGCCGGGTATTTACTCGGATGCCACCCTCTCTCTATACGGTGACCACAGTGTCGCCATACCCAGACAGACAGAGAGACTGCTTTACAGGTTGATTTGTTGTGCCTCCACAGATCGATAAGACTGTCAGAGTCTTCTGATTTGGCGCCCTTTCGTGAGAGGAGGAGAAAGATATATATTGTAAATATTTATCTCGAATCCATGCCTTTACTACTCATGACTCTCACATCAAATGTGACTGTCAGAGCATGTGAGCACGGCATTGCACAATGCGGGTGCGCAAAAATATTGCTCCCCTTGCATCATTATGAGCCTAGCAGGCTGTCCGTCCTTTCGAGCGAGCGAAACTCAACCCGGTTGGGTTACTACGGTTTGCTGAGCTCCCAGCGTTTCGATCACCTCATCACTTCGTGACCGTCACGTCTGAGCAGAGTATACCAAACGTCATCACAATTGGCATTTTACGAAGCATCTTCGTCCCAGACTTCTCTTCTGCAGACACGTATAGATTTACCCGCAGGCCAATACGAATGTATATACACCGTATAGGTATGCCAAAGGCAATTGCAAATGCTTCAGAAATGTTATTCCACGGCCTCCATCGAGACTCAACGTGTGGCAAATTGGATGGATGGGCCCATGGCCTCCGGTCCTTGACTCGGTAGACGGGATGAGCCTGAGGATGTTCCAAAGCAGCAGGCACCGAGCTAAAATCCATGGGAGGGGAGGGTGAGGAGAAAAGGAAAAGGTCAAATGATCGGCTACCATGCACTAGTAGAGCATCTAGGGGTTCAGAGTCCAGAGTGCAGCCAAAGTTGCGCCAAACGGTGCCATAAAGAGGACCGAGGCTCTCGTACTGAGGCCACTTTAAATTGTGGTCCTGTGCTGTGCAGTGCAGCGCGACAGAAGCCGAGGATGAATGGTCATGATCAGTCTGTTGATGGAAAGCCTTGTAACTGCTAAACCTGCGGTTGTACTGTTGGAGTTTGGTGGGAATCCGTGCACACTACGGCCCACCTCCACCACTCCAAGCTCCGGCACCGTTCAATAGTGTTGAATTTCAGTTGTGCATTAGGTGCGTAGCCCCAATCTTCTGACAACCACTTTTGACTTGTGCCCTGGCTCGGGCTCGGGCTTGTGGAGCTGCGAGTGAGCCTCTCTTCCTTCTTGCGTCTCGCTTCGCTTCTCCTCGTAACGTGATCCACGCTCACTCTCTCTCTCACTCTCTCGCTCGCTCCCTCCCTCGCAGTGAGATCCCCACTGCCTGCCGTGAGGTCTGTCCCAGAGCTCTGGTTGGCTTTCCCTCCTGGTTGTCCATTGGCCCGAACTTGCAGCACACTGTGGCGACGAGTTGTTGAGTCAGTGGAGCTTTGAAGGCCATGGCTGCGAGAAGAGCGCTTTAGTCAGACCTCGGTCGGCCCGCCTTGCAGGAATCGGGGTGCAGTCGCATTGCAGTGCCTCCCCCCGTCAGGCCCGATCACGCGTCCTGCGGTGCGTGATCTCTCTCGTACCCAAAACCCCCGATCGCTCTTTTTCTTGAAAAAGCCTCTCCCTATTATATCCCCCACTTCACGATCTTCGTCTCGTAACCGTGGGGCTTGCCAAAAGGCCCAAATCGAGCGTATCATCGACGGGCGATTCGGACCGCACCCACCAGAGAAAGCATCGCATCGAGAATCGAACGCACATTGCTCAATCCGGACAAGACCACGGCACATTTTGTGATCGAGCTCGCAGCGGTGGAGGATGGTCGCACGCATTCATCCTCCAGTGCAGCAAGAGCACAAAAAGCAAATCGGGTCGAGGTCCCGAGACTCTGTCTGCAACATCGTCTGCATAGTCTGAGGGTCTCGTAGAATACTCCATAGCTCGCGAGAGAGCATACGAGAAGGGCCGTAGAAATCCGAACCGGAGTACCGGACGACGTTCGAGGTTCGTGTTTGCGGTGACCGGGAGGAGGCTGGGGGCCGAGTACGTACTTCACGTACGAGCACTGACCATGGTAACGAGGCATCATCGGACGAGAGCCGTGTCAGCTCGAGCATGCCACGTGTGCGAGAGGGCGAAGAGTTGGCGCCCGACTGCGGCCCTGTCCCGAGTCCAGAGTCCGGAGTTATCCCGGTCAGTGCTGACGATGGCAGTCCATGTGGATTCCCCGGGAGCGAAGTTCACGTGGGTACTTTTGATGCCATTTGCAGCGCTACGGTAGGCACGTCGGACAGGGACCCCATCACACGTTTAGATTAATTGGCCAACGCTGCGTCGTTCTCCGAGGCGGCAGAGGCAGAGCCAGAGGCGGGCAGCAGGCAGCGGGCAGCGGGCAGCGTACGGGACTCGAGTTGGCGCCTGTAAGCAATGCAGGTCTCAGATCGCCAATTCGGCATCGCTGCTGCCACCGATCAGACCTTGCCGCAGTCGCCGGCTCCCCGCGATCGCTGCTTTCCCGAAATGGTGGCAAGAATTATCGTGGGCCGCCAAGAGGCCTGCTGCTGCATCAGTGTGTCCAGGAGCTGTCGGAAGGCTTGTCGTTCGCAATCTGTCACAATTCACAGAGTCTGGGAACGAGGGGTGGAGGCGGTCGCTTCGAGCCCGTAATGGGGATCTTTCTGAGCACGTAATGGTTGGCACCGCTTTCGGTAATCTGCAGTTCTCTCGCACCAGTTGCTCGCAGGGTCCAGTGCTGATCCAGACAGACCAGCTGGCAGCTGGCAAGCTCAATGCGGGAGAACCTCCTCTGAGTCTGATTCCGAGCTGAATCTCGTTTAAATGTTTGTCTGTTTTGGAGAGGAGTATCTGGATGTTCATTCATTTCCTGATCGAGTGTGTTGTCTCGCGCACTGAAAACATCCGGGGCCCGTGGACGTTCACGTTCTCGAGAAACCTGTAAGCTCGTCGAGGTAAGTGGTCCTTTCTTCTGCTATCTTCGATTCAAGCCCAGCTGGGATGGTTTCGCTGTTTTGTGATCGAGGGAATCATCGTATGTGGGAAGCGCGTACGCTTGTGATGCTCAGGGATCATGTCTGTGCTTGTGCACGTAAGTATCATTCGGGATGTCGAAACAGCTAATGTGATACGACTCACGGGCTCCCTCAGAAGGCAAGCTTTCCATATCTGTTCATTGTGTCCTGAAGTAGAACGATATGAGAGAAACAGGTGAAGACTTATTCTGCAATGGTCACTGTCCGATGGTTGTAACTCGAGAGAAAATCAACGTCTTTTTGGTGGGAGTGATGCTGCCACAGTCTCTTTCTCAGGACATTTCGCTGAAACTTAGTCAATCCTATATATTTCTTGTGCAGTTAATGTTAACCTCTAGCACACTTCGTGTGGGAAGATCATGTCCGTAACAACAATGGTGTAACACATTCACAAGCGCTGTACGATATAGCGGTATGGTAGGTTGCGAACTTAGTTTCGTTCCACGTTTGAAGTGTAGAAGTTATGTTCATTTAGCAGATATATTATACACGGTCTATTCTTTTTATTTTTTTTGGAAAGAAAGTTGTTTTTTTGAATTAGCTGAAGTTTTCATTATTCGAAACTTGTATGTGTTGAGACGGTTCAGTAATATCACTATTGCAGACTGAGGTACGTAGTTTTACGATCACTAGTTGCCAACAGGATGTATACAGTTCACTCAGAAATTGTTGCGAACAGAAGGTAAACCTGTCTTCTCATCTTGGCGAAGGCTTTGTGCGAGTGGTGCAATTAGGAGTTGGAGTACGATTAGTTAAAAAAAAATTTTCACAGAAAATTTCTCTTTCAATATGTACTGTGAGAAATGTTTTCAGATAAACACGAGCGATGAAGAAGATACATACATCCATATTCGTCCAAACAATCTCACGCTGCGAACCGTACGAAACTCGCAATTGAAAATTGAAGTAAGAAAGTCATGTTGTGCGCATAGCGAGAACTCCCGTATTTCAAATGTAGGCAATTTAAAGCGAGATACATTTAGTACAATTAAATCGTTCCCTCGAAAAGGAAGTTGAGATCTCGAGGCATATCTAACTTCGTATGTGTTTTTCTTCTACGGTTAGGTGCACTTGCCGTGCAGTTGATCTCTAAGAGAATCCACTTGCTTACTCCAATATTTCTTGGTCTTCTCAGCTTCCTGTAAGACCACATGAGCATCAAAAGTAAAGAACAAATCTCACCTCACTTCGAAAACGTCTACAGCTTATCCCAAAATTCGTGAAAGATAAAAAGCAATAGGTGACACCTAATCACAAGCGGCTATGAACAACGTGGAGTCCCGATGGGTAACGGTACCTTCTTCATTGCTGCACGGCAAGAGTCTGGAGGAGGTTTCATGCCCGCTGCAAAGTCTCCTTGGCATTTACCCTTTTTAAGGCACTGAATCACTTCATTGCCAGTTCTTTCTCCTGATAAATAAGTTGTTCCGAAAGGTTTGTTAGCACTGGAATGAGGGACCTAGTCTTCTTCCATGAAGGGGTAATTTCAGTTCATGGGAAAATTTGCTGCCAACTTTTCTGTTTCAAATGTATCTCACAATGCCAGTATGGCTGCGCTCTGCTAGGGTCGGATGGACATTTTTTTCAGGCTCCAAACTGCCATTTATTAATGAATGTTTCAGAATGTGGTTAATCTTCTCAGGCGTCAAGAGTTAACGGATGGATGACTACTCCTACCAGCTCTTTCCTAAACGTCGTATTCACACTAAATTTAAGGTGGGTTATACGGCCTCTCAATCATGGAAGTTGTTTGCTAGAGATTGTAGTAAACAAACGGTGGTCAATTGCGTGACAGTACTAATAATTACACGAAAGAAACAATTTTTTCACACTCACCTTCAAGCAACGCGCCATGGAGATAGCCACTGTAAAGTTCGCTTGTGTGTTCTCCACAAAAATAGACACGTCCTACAGGTGCCTGCTCTTCATAAAAAATTGGTAATTATTAGCGCGAACAAAATTGTACTTCATCTCACGCTTCAAAGGAGACTCGGGTGGAGATAAAGCAAGACACAAAAACCTTACCTGCAATTGCTTGAATTCGAAGGTGCTGACACCGATGGGCCAGTTCGAGTAAGAACCCTTGGCATAAGGATCGCTCTGCCAGTCGTAGTAGTATATTTCATCAGCCATAGGAATGTTTTCACCGAACATCTTCCGCAGAACCACCATGACCTCTCCGAGAGTGTCGTTAAACGACTGCTGGTTGACTCTTTTCGACTGCTCGTCGGTAACTGTGACGAAGATCAAGCTTTTGTCGGGGAATTGTTTGTCGAGAGACTGCAAGGACCACTCATTCAGGCATTAGACACTAACGAAAGTTCAATCGCTCCTTCTCATGAACGAGATACTGTGCAGGGCTTTGCAAAACTCAATGGGATCTTTTTGCTGTTGGAAAACCTACAGGACAGTCTATGCCATAAACTAGCATGTTTAGAAACTGATCTGAGTCACTGACAGCGTTCATCTCGTTCACTAAGAGTACGTCTGCATCTGTGTGCTCTATTTAAAAAAGAGTATATTTTAGATCTCAGCCCTTGTTGGGATCCAAAACTTAAAACGTTTTGAGTAAATAGAAGAACTTGAAAGTCTAAAAAATGTGCCGACATCGTGTTACCTGCCAGATGGTGTAATATCCTCGAGACTCGTCAGCGTAGAGCATGAACTCGCTTCCTGGATGAGTAGGCCAGAACTTGGATGGGAAGCTAAGGAAAATTTTAGTGTAGACAGCCATATCGAATTGATAGATAACGGACATTTTCCAGAACTGCATCAAGCATCCAAGAGAGTCTTGGTTACAAAAACTCAAAAGTCATACAAAGTGGCGATATAGGTTAAGTCTTTCTCATGAACTCTGAGACGAAGTAATCCAGTACAAATTAAAAGGACTGTTCAGACATTGAGAGTTATTTAGTCAGTGCAATCTATCGTGGAAATGTAATGCAGACAATCTGAACGTGGAGAATAGTTGATCACGTACAGGCAAACCAGGAGAAAAGTTGATAAGGTTGCTCTGTAACACTCCGATGCTGGCAGTGACAATTGCAGCCTTGGCTTTGTAGACAGAACCATCTGCAGTGGAAACGACAACGCCTGTGTCCGTGTACTCAATCTTGTTCACAACCTAGAAGGAGGAAATTCAATGTCAATTAGAACTGATGGTCAACCTCAGGAAGCTTTTGGCGGCAGAGAACTCAAGAGATAGATCCATTTCACATCCATTTCATAAAGTTGAGTGGCATACCTTGCCGAGTTTGAGACGCGAGTCGACGACAGTTTCGCCATCCATTTTCAGATAGCTCTTGAGCAAAGGTTGGAATACAACAGCATAGCCTCTTGGATCCGCAACAAAATAATGATCCGGACCGAAGATTTCTTCGGTTGGCAGAGGTACTGTGTTCTTCAAACTGCTAGCTCGTGGTGGTTCTGCAATTACTCCCCATATGAAGTGAGCGTCAGAGTCAGACTTATACGAGACAAAATCTGCCATGGTCAGATCCAGGACTGGGAACTTCAATCTCCGAAGATAAATTATGTACATGGCGCCGACAAGTTATTAGTCAGGAATTTTTATTATAGAAGCTCAGTGTGCGTGGAATTCGTACCAGCTGTGGTGAAGTCGTAGTACCACCAGTCGAGCGCCATTTCAATTGCGGTCTTGGGGTAGCTGCAGCCATCATGGATTCATTAGCCTGGAGAATTCTCTACTACAAAGTATGAAAGAAAACTCCATCAGAGAACGTTAATTTACGAGACCGTCTTCATCGTAGCCAGTATAGTAAACTGTAAGGGTCACTTTTGAAAGAACTTTTCTCCATGTTTGTAATCTAATTGGTGCACAAGTCAGTGGAAAACTAAATGGGTATGATTGTCCACGTGGACATTCAAAGCACATTATCAACCAGAAAGTGAGAAACATATCAAGCTCTTGTCTCGTGGGAGTCTGGATTGCATTAGAACGCACGTTAATCAATAACTAGGTGATGGAATTGATAACAATAATTCTGGAAGGACAAAGTAGAGAATTTACAATCCAAAGAAGCGCTGTCCCGTTTGCTGGGAGATATCCTCGATATTTCCCTCCGTAAGATTCTTCGAGAGTTCTCCCACGAACTCAAAAGCCTTGTCCGCTGCTTCGACCGTGCTCGCTGCTTCTTCAATCGGAACGAAGCCTCTGAATGAAATCCAAACCAAAATCAACTCAGCTTCGTGGTCACGAAAGCCCGCAAATTTGGTCTAGTCCCTCGTACAAACATAATACGGTAGAGGAAATCTGCCGCTGACATTGAAGAATATCGAGAAGAAGAGCTGCTGCGAAATCGAAGTCTGAATACGAGTGAGCTCCTTATTCTCAAGAATATTCCGCATCATTCGAAAAAAAATCGACCCGGGACTTCACAGTCCAAAAGAACTCTCATCAATTTCCTGGCCCTGACGTAGCAACGCCCATCAGAGCGACAATGGAACTCTTTCGTAAGTATCAGCCTCCGGACACCATCGGGTCACATCGTTGCACGTAGCTCGCGAAAAGCTCACGATCTGTGAGCGTGCGTCTCGTGCTGAACTGAACCAGACGGCTTAACCAAATGCGTTCAGATTCGGGTGAACCAAACGAGAATTGCCAGGCTGCACAAATTTCCTATGTCCGTCCTCCGAGTCGGGGGCTCTTCCTTGTATTTATCGCTGTGTTCGCCATTGAAGTTCAGAACTCTGAAATGTCGGCAAGTTGCTGGCAGATTCGTCGTGCGGAAGATAGAATCATCGAGCGGAACCACTGCAGTTACCAGAACCTCTACCGCTAACTTCCCGACAGGTTGACAAAATGCTCTGAGCACTGCTCGCGGCTCCTGCGCTGACAGAAGCTGTCGCATGTGGCCGGATAATGCGGTAATATCAGAGCTATCGAAGGAACGACTGCGACAACTATCCATGTTTGTCTGGCTACACTCGAAGGTCGGCGGACCATTCACGAGGCCAGGAATCCAACTGTTGACTGGACTCTTCACCCCGCTACACACGAAGTAAATTGCGAATGTCGACGTGCCTGGACTGTGATCATGTGATTGCGGGGATTTTTGGGGGATCAGGCAGGAGTGAATCCCGAAGGAGATGAGCGTGCACGACCGACTTACCTTTCGTCGTAGATGTTGCTGGTCCCGTTGTCGAAGAATGAGTAGAAGCTCCTCAAATTCACCTCTTGGGCTAGCGTCCACACGGGGTTCACTGGTCCGGGCCCGTTTACTCCCTCGACCCAGTTAGCACCGAGCTCAACTTTGCCTCCTGCGAAATCGGCATTGCGCACGCGTCCTCCCACCCTGTCCGTGGCCTCCAACATCACAAAATCTGTCACGCCTTGGTCTGCCAAAGTCTTGGCAGCCGTAATTCCTGGAAGGAGAGTCCATCATGTGTGACGAGCGTCAGGAAACGAGAGTGACGCACTTTCTGCAGTTTCTGCAGTTTCGAGCGAAATCTGAGGCAAAAGCTGATTTTTCAGAAGTTTGGTGCTTCATCCATAGCATTCGCTGGGCTAGGCCAGAAGTTATTGGGTGTTTCCAAACTCGTTACAATCAACGTTGGTCATAAATCAGATCACTTATGATGTCAACAGATTATCACGGCACGTCAGGAACAATGATTACGATGTTTCATCTACGAATGTCTTGTGCCAGCTCTTTGAATTCTGAGAAAGAAGAAGATTTAATTGTTCCTTGAACAGATTCCGAAGCTGGGACCTGCGTGGGATTAGCAGTATTACACTTAAGTTATTGCATAGATCACTAACTATCTGTCTGAGCTCTAGACATGCATCCTAACTATAATGCAAGTTAGGTTTCAAACCAATGCATATTTCGAGCTAAATGCTTGGCAGTCAGAAGATGGCGGCCGGTTGAAAACATGCATCAAATAAACCTTCCATGTTACACTTGGGCACAGCTGTAGCTGCACAATCGATAATACTGCAGATGTTCAAGCTACAGAAACGGAATGATCATTAATAGTATTAAAATATCACATATAGAAATATGATGGAGGTGACGGCTGCAAGCAGAGTGTGGGTTCAATCAATTTTGCTAACCAGTTGGAACTCTGTGCAATACTTTTGAGAAACCAGGAAGAGATCCTACCAGAAGCCCCAGCACCGATGATAATCACGTCCGTGGTGATCATCTCTGCATCAGCTTGAAGTGCCATTAGACTAACCACGGACACGAACGCGGCCGCGACCAGCGACGACAATCTCGCCATGTTTGCAGACAACGTCGACAACCTACACATTCAAAAGTACGACGAAGTCATGAAACATTACAATATTGCAATGCATGCGCAAATCGGAAACTATGGAAGCCGTCTGCATGAGGAAACATTCTGACGAATATACCACAGACAGGCTACAACAACGAAGCATGGAGTAGCATCGTGAGCGAACCATTACCGCTCAGAAAGTTCCGGAATGGATCAAGCGCTACCACTTCTGCAATATATACTGCGCCGCAGGTACAATGTCAGCTCAGCCAAGTCACGTGTCTCATTCTCCGCAGCACCATCGTGTCCTCATTCTACTCTTCACCGTAGCTGCAATATTATTACGGTTCATCCCAACACATTCAAATCCACATGGGATCATATTCTTCAAGCAAATCCAATTTTTTGAAAACGTCCGTCCCGTTGTCTGTAGATTGTGATTTAGTAACCACATGCTAAATTTCTTCTTCTCTAGTGTCTTTAAAGAGTAGAAATATGTAACGTGTGGAACCTTTGCGCTCATTTTCGGTTAGAAATATGTTAATTTTTAAAGAATAATTGATTTATCATTAATATATAATAACTTTACTAAGTTGATCTATCAAAACCTATATTTACAATACCTCTCTATAACTAATTTATTGTCAATATAATCGCGATAACAACACGGACTTAAATATTGCAATAATTAAGTCCCTGTTAGCTCTCAAGTTTTTTTTTTTATTCCCCATTCTCGTGTTCTCCTAACGTTAGCAATTTATGTGTTTCGGTTATGTAGACCTTATTGGATACATTCCAGAGACATATGTAGAAGTCCACATGGCCCACCCAGAGTAACCCAGTCACAGAAGAAGCACTTGTACCCAGCATATGAGCCTAACGAATTTCGAGACTTGCCTTCGACACAGATGGTATGTGAAAAGGGGAAATTATGAAGACACCTTTTCGCTTATCGCGAGGGAAGATAATCTAAGCCTGGCATGGAACGCCATGAGAAGCAAGCCAGATAACTTTAAAATCATCGTCTCTTGAATTAATATAAAATGATAGAGATGATCAAAGCTTCTTCACTCAAATATCTCCAACTGAATTCATACTCTAACATTTCCATAAGGATAAAATCTTAGTGATTTATCATTTCACTTTGTGCCTCTGCGAGTTTTTCAACAGCAATATTAATGTGAGCTATTTGCATCACATTGTAATGTCTCAATAAGTTACATGAAGAAAGTCCGCACAGTTTCTACAAAAGTATTAACAATTGACGCGTTGGTGATTATTCAAAAGAAGAAGAAGAATTTCCCTTCATTGCGCTATGTTACCTAAAATAGAGACTGTCCAATATACCGCTTTTATATAATATCTCATTTCTCTTTAGCCGAATGAAAACATTTCGAGAATTTAATAAGATAGCTGCATGAATTACAACGGTAGTCTGAATGGTGAAACCTGAATATTAAAATTTTTATTACGCTGATGTGTCAGATCAATATATATCATTATCATATGTTTAATTATAAAGACACCTCAAAAAGTTTGGATTTCTGTGTTCAAAAAACAAATATAATACTTGAAAGCCAATAATATATTAAAAAAATGATTTCAATACTTGAACTTTTACATTTCTTTTGACTTTTTTTTCCAAATATTTATTTTAAATATCGAAACAAAATTAGTTACCTTAGCATCGTTTAGATTTTTCTATCTTCATGAAAATAAAATTGTTAAATTTTATCTTATTGAAGAAAATAATTCTAAACATTAACCTGTCTTATGATTAAAATTTATTTTATCCTCATTTCATCAATATTTTTATATGTTTTAACATATTTTTATATGTTTTTCAAGTCTTGCAAAAACTCCTTCCAAATTTGGAAAATACCAATATTATACTTAATGTGAAAATAAAACATTATGTTTATAAATTTTGATTATCAAATAGCTCCCAAAATTTGAAATAAATCATAAGTAGGCATGATTGTCATATACATCAAATATGGCGGTTGTGTTTGACTACCTATGAAAAACAAAATATCCATGAGGTTCACGTAACAGAATATTCTTAGAAATTACAACAAAGGATCCTGAACTGAAATTACTGATGACGTGAGTCATACAATGGTCGGTGCAAAGCATCGACGTGTTAGAGTGGCTGATACAAGGAAACGATGTCCATGATTGCGGGTAGGACTTACAACCAAAGTATGACTTATATGCCTGACTTGTAACTTTAACGTGTGCCAACCGATTAAAACACTTCCAAATGTCTGACAATGCGTGAATGGCCACGTTATGTCCCAAGGAATCGCATAAAGATCATCATGTTCTGCACAGTTTCTATGTACTGTCCATGTCTAGCAGCTAAAGCATTGTCATTGTTCGGATCATGTGAAATAAAACAGCCTAACGCAAATCCCGAGGCTCGGATAAGGATCTTTAAGGTTCAAGTCACCAATCTGAACTAGGCGTCTTTTCCTCGTTGCTTAAGGGTGTTCTAATTATAGAATGGCCCTAAGAGTGCATGCTACAAAACAAATATGTACTAAATTTTATTACTTTGCCAAGAACTTTAGTTGCTGTAGATATTCTTCTTAGTAACAAAATGAACATCAATCATTGTTGTTTATGTAACGATCTTCTTTTCATTGTGAGATCATCGTAAAATCATTATTTCATTGTTTTAACGATCATGTCATTGTTTTTTTGCATCGTATCTATGTAAAAAAACTCATGAGCATAGCTTCTACATTTAAGAAAGCACGAGGTTATGACTCTTCAGTATGATTCTATACTTCCAATATATTAGAATTACATTCTAAAGTACCAAATCAAATTCCTATTGCGCTAAAATATAACACCATATATTTCTTTTATCTACTATCATTTCACAACTCAGTGGATTTTTTTTTGAAATTTTATTTTATGCAACTCTTGGAGTAAATTTTTGGTTTTTGTATAAGTTAATCAAATGTTCCCTTAATGTATTGAATCTTTAATGTTAGGTTTATTTATGTTTTCATCAAATGCTATGAAAAATTCAATATATCAGCTAAGGATGTAGGTTTCATCTTCTCAAAAATCATAAGCATGAATTTTGTAACAATTTTACTACATAATATTTATGTCCAGTAGGAAATGTCTACATTGTAGTAGTAAGAAGCACATGGAATTATCAAATCTATGTACATTCTCATATTTTTTCCTCCATACAAGAGTGTATATGAAATTACTATATCTTATGTTACCAATGTCTTAAAGATCATACTTAATTCAATCATCAAATAATAATCATTTTTATATCATACATCTAAGATATACAGGTTCAATATTAGTTTTCAAATTTTCAATAATAATTTAGTTTTCAATTTTCTTATATAATAGACTAAAGAAATTTTTTTTATCAATTCATAAATTTTTGAAAAAAATTTAACAAATTCAAAATTTCTAGTTATGAAAAAATTTAAAATCATATTGTTGAAATCTGAACTATTATACTGAAATAATATTTTTTACTACATAAATTAAACTAAGGTCTCACTTCTTGAGAAATCACAATCCAATAACATTTATTCAATGCTAAAAAAAGTTCATGTAATTTTGATATTGATCATTTTTTTATCTTAAGTTAAAATATGTAATAATTTTAAAAAATATGAAAAAAATTAGTATTTTAATATGTCATCGCATGAATATAAGGATACAAAAAAAATTTCCAAGTTGGATAATTCCCAATGTTTTGAGAGAAATTGACATCCAATATTCAAGATGAAATAGATGATATTCAAATCAAGATTAATCTTATTTTGATATTAAAACGTAGAAAATATGAATATGGTGATTAGAAGATAATATGTAAATTTGGAAATTTCAGCACTCAAAAGCCATGATGCAGTTCAAACTTACGACGAATAGTGAAAGTTAGCTTCATTTGCGCTAGAACTACTTCTAAGATAGCCAATGTGCTTAGAAAATATAGAGTAGAAGAGTTAGAGCTCATATCATGATTCGGTGGAGTGAAGTTTTAGAGGGTTTTACTAGAAAACTGTGATCACATAGTGCTTTCAAGCTAGTGCAAAAACATGAAACATATGAGTTTTAAGTCAAATGATACCTTGATTAAAATCTTTCTTTTATGCTTTAATTATAACATTATTCAACTTGAGTATATCCCACCAGTAAAGAATATTGTTATCATGTTTTCAACATGATTTATCGTTACTCATGTCAGCATAATCATTTTGGATATCTCCAGTTGTTATCATCAACAACCTTGGACGATTTACAGAAGGTTCCGCTACCAATACATGAAAAAGCTTCGCAAGGATTTATTAATTATATGTCACGCCTGTGTTGATGTATTGATTGTAAAAAATATTAAAGTTTCTAATGTAGCAAAAATGAATTTTGGGATGGGTTATTTATAAGAATTCAATAAAAAATATTTCAGAATTAAACGAATCTAACAATATGCTAAGAACATTGTTTTTAGTGATTATAGTCTACTCTATGTATCTTCTTAATTGAAAAATTTGAAACTTTCACGCTAAACCCTAGAGCCAGTTATAATTCCATCTCGATATAATTATTTCAGCTGAAGCTCTTATATCAATAATAAAAGAAACAATTGATCATTGTATATGTGATAAAGAGGCGCACCTTTAGTGTGTGTTGGTATCTTTTGATACCTTATATGTATGATGTCTCAAGTCTGTAAATAATTCTCGAAATTGACTAATCTCTTCTATCGTATGTAAAATACCTTGTAAATTGTGAGTTGAAAAATACTAATAAACCAGAATGCAAATTTTCCATACTCAATCATTTGATAAGTTTCCAGTAAGTTACACTACTATAACTTTGTAACTAATATCTCATGAGATGATATTTTTTCGATGTTAAATCAGAAATTGCTTGTTCATAAAGCTCCAACATGTTTACAGAGCTGTTACTTTTGCATAGCTTGTGATTTTTCTTTCGCCATTGTTTTATTCAACTTATCGCGCTTCATACATATCCTTGAGAGGCTTAATTTTTATTAGTCAAACCGATGTCTTTCCGGAAAGCATTTTTTTTGCTATATATCGTTTTACTTTCATCAAGGAAGCTCTTCAGTCTATGCCTAGGCACAGCCGAAAGAGATTCCATGAACGGATGACAACTTCAGGAATGGACGAAAGAGCTTCAGTCATCCGTTGACTGCAAATAATTGATCCTATCATTATGGTAAAGGATGATAAGTTTCATGCAAATGGCTAGTTATCCTTCGACCTTTGTTGTTTAGCGGTAGAACTTTCAGTTGTATGATAGTCGACCAAAACCTGCACAATTTTGCAGGTTTAGAACTAGATACACTTCGAGAGTACGAAGCCCCGCTGCCATCGAGAACGCGAGAGTCGGCTTTGCTGATTGCACGTGAG